AGCACAATATATAATACAGAGTAACAGAGTTGAATACTAATGAATATAATAATGAAATATAATAAAAGTTTTATAATTTTATTGGTTATAATAATATGTAGGTAGTTGTTGGTAGTTTAGTTATTAGGTAGATTGTATAGATTCTTTAAATAAAATTGTTTTGGCATCAAAACGCGGCGCACAAGATTAAGTCGTCTACATTATGTAGTGTTCTTCTACAGCTAGAATTTAAATAATAATATTATTCTGCAATCGCGATGAGTTGTCTAAACGTACTGTTACAGACGCAACGGGGTATCAAATTTCGCGAAAACTTGATCGTTAAAAAATACGAAAAGGAAAAAACTTGAAATATTTTACGATTTACCGCGAAGTCTGTGTATCTATTATTGCGATCACTTTGTTGTTCTTGGAGCATGGCCGTTTTTAAATTTTTTTTTTTTATACGTTTTGTCAGATTTAGAGTTTTTTACGTTCCGGCTGTATATATTATGTACGACTTGTCCGAATCAGTCGCGTTTTTTATTTTCGTGTTTTTCTACGTGCGTTATTTTTTTCTATCATTATMAGATATTATCATTATTTAGGTATATCGTGGTTTAAAACCGTTACAGTCGAAGTTGACGGTCATTTAAAAACTTTTCGGTTGTGACTTTAACGCTCGCGAACGACGCGTTCTTCTATATTCGGGGAACTACCAATATAACARTGTTTTAAGATTTTCATTTTCGCGATCGTTTACACGGCACGTTTCGATGATTTTTAGTAATATCATTTTGGCCTAGGGGTTTAATAATATATTTATATATAACATTATATCGTTAGATTAACAGTACCTATTTATAATAATAATAATGTTATTTTTAAATGTAAACTATTATACGTAAAATTATAATAATTTATGTATCGTATAATACATATATATATATATACTTATTATTTCTAATAAGACTAATGGAGATTCGCTGTCATAGCACATAATATTATGACGTTTTTAATTATTTTTTTTTTTTTTTTTTGCTAACGTCAAACCACAAAGCGATTACCCCTATATTATAATAGTATTAAACATCTATACTTTCACTAAGAAGAAAAAAAAAACATAACATAAGTATATTATTGTTATAATATTATGTATAAATAATGTACAAAATTGTTAGCACACGTGCCAGTGAAGAGTGAACGTAACTACACACATACACACACGCGCACGCATATTTCCGGGTGCAAACGGCCGCTGAACTGCACGTTATATTGAAGCGATAAAACTTGTTGTGGGATGGGGATTGAGACTTTTGATGTTTCGCAAACATCACGATATACCTTCGGATGGCGAGGCGAGTGTAATATTAAGTCCGGTGCGACAGCCACCGCGGAAGAGTGTGCAACTATGCAACACGTGGGCTTGATATAATGTACAACATTTTCAATAGCTGCAGTGGCGTATTTAGGATTTCGTCAAGGGTAGGGGATATACGTTAGCAAACGTTTGATTTCCCAAAGGGGAGTGGGAAGTTCACTTACCGTCGACATCGCTAGGTTAGGTAAATAATAAGTAACGAACAACAGACCAAGGGGGATCTATCTTCCACATCGCCGCAGCTACATCGTAAATACGCCACCGCTACATAACGGTCGCAAACCATCGACATCGGACTATGGCCAGCCACAGTGTGACATTATATGGTGACGCAGAAAACATATATATATATACATCGCGTCCTATTCATAACATATAGCGCGCGAGACATCGTTGTAATAATGGTTGTGCGTGAGTATACATACATAGTACATACATCATCAAAAGGAATATCAAATACAAATAGGTAATATATTATGTATATATTTTACGCGTACATATTTGGTTTTGGCAGACCGGCGACTTCGGTTTATTGTATAGATTGAGTACCTATACTATTGACATGTCGACGTTATTGCGTGGATTTATGGATTTTACGGCTGCGGGGGAGCATGGGACGGATGTCTGCAGTGCCGTCGGCGGGGTGGGTTTGGAGGCACGGTGGTAAACGGAAAACGCGTAAATGTCAYGTGCACATATTAAATTATATTACATTATGTACAGAGGGGCACATCGTTCGCTGTGCGGCGATTAGGTGCGACCTAAGGCCGCGCGTCAACCACGTAGGATATAGTGTGGGACGTGGGTGTAAAGTATATAATAAGTAMATCGTTGCGATGTTTGTACACAGTAATAATAATTTGGAAACGAAACCGGAAAGAGAACACACGGAAAACCGGGTAAAATAAAAATCACAATGAAATAATTTACAAATAAATATACAATATCATGACGCGAGGACGCTTTGGTGAGCCCACCCGAGACATTTTCAGCCACGTCCTCCGCCGTCGGCTCGTCTTGCAAATGCCCTCCGACCGATTTACAGGTAAACACGACGCAAGTTGGACGGAAGCGTTATCACGTAACACTGCGGACACAGCTTTTTAGCACCCTGAAACATATGAGAAGACATTACAGTATCTCGATAAAGCTTCGTATTTTGGTGACGGGCAAGACGTTGGGCGCACCACTCAGGTCCATGGGCGCTGACTTCGCGGAGTCACATCAACAGTACCATATATTATGTGATACTCATAAGCGTCTGGAGAGGTGCGTATGGAAGAGGGTAATTTMAAATTTGGGGAATTCACCCGCACCCAAGTATTTAAATTTTTTTTTTTAAATTGAGGAAATCCGAAGAAATTAAAAAATTATAACATTGCCCTCCTCCCCCTGCTTAACAGGAAGCATTTTTTCGGGTGCTTATGTTATACTACATACAGTATGCTGAATAAAGATCCTTTACCATGAATATAGATTTTTAAAAAATACAAGAAGTACTATGATAAGGAACCACGATTGAATGAATTCGCAGTTCTAATTTGTCACAAAACGGTTTTAGAGTCTTTGGAATTTTTCAACGTAGAAAACATATGTTTATCAACAAGTGATCGATGACAGAACATATATTCTTGCACTGTGATGAATACAATTTTGGAAAATATTTTCAATCATAAATGTTTTTTTTTTTTTTAGTTTTAACTGAACCCCGTATAAAGAGAACTGAAACAATATCCATGGACAGATGTTTAAGGTTTTTGTTTACCCTCGTGTTGGAATCTAAAAGTCAGCACCTATGGTCGGGTCTGTATATGTCTTATATTATTTTAATACGTCGGCGAATAGTAAACACCATACACTCACCAGTATCTGTAGCCAGCATACTTCACAGTACACGTGCCAGCACGACGTCGACACGACGGGATCTTTGAAATTTCCCTGGAAAAATGAAAAATCACTTATAAGAACGGTGTCTTAACTATATAATCTGCAATATAAATATAAATTATGACTAAATTTCATTATTAATATATATATACTTCAGCAAATAGTATCTAGAATTTGAATTTTATTAACCCTATATGTTGATTCCGTGCACCCACACTGAGTAGGTATGCATAATATATAGGTATGGGTTTTGTAAAATTTAATTTTTGATGTCAAAACTCATGCACTGAAAGGTYGAGATACCCGCGCGYRTTCACCGATACCTATATCGCCGTGGTCTTTTATTTTTATTTGTCGGGGCGTGGAAGGCAACTTTGCATTTGATGGGCATCAGTAATTTTGCGAAGTGGACATAATATGTGAATTGTACCTATACATACGACGGGTGACCATCGTATCACATGAAAAACGTCCTATTCTTGATACACACACTGATATAGGATAATACGTATTATACTTTAGCCTAAGTGACTTAGGTCGTAGTGTCACGAAAATAAGGATTTCATCGGTATTTACTTTGCACAACAGACAAGTAAACTTGTCGCTTCCGGTTTTGGACATCGACTCCAGTTCCCGGATCCGAGCTTTTAGCGCTTCGACGACCTGACCGTTGTTGTTGAACTGTGCGCAGTACTTGTCAACGTCCATTTTGGGTTTCACTGTCCCTTCGTCTTGTGTGTTTTCCTTTTTGATCGACACGTCCAGCGGTCCGACGTTTTCGCACGAGTCCATTGCCTCCATCGCGTTCGGATCGTTCAGCCTGAACAGCAACCAACGATCAAGATATTATTAATCATTATTACGATGATAATGTTCAATATGATTATAATTTATTGGTAAGTAAATATTATTTTCGAGACGCGTCGTCACAAATGCGTACTCGTAAACGCAATAATCTTATGTATCACACTTATTATTATTAACTGCTCGTCGTCTCATAACACAATTATACTAAGCAGGTATTTTTTTAAATTTTTTTTTTTTGTTATTCCTCTGTAGACAACACTATAATTATGTTATTACGACGATTAGCTGGACGATCGGAAGGAGTATTGCTGAGGTTTGGTTCAAAAGGTAAAATGTATGTATAAAGTAAGGTTGTGAAATGATGATAATAAAAACTAAAAAACCCCGAAATAAGCGCATCAAAAATAACGGTGTAGTGATGGACGCCGCGCCGGACAAAACATATTACAAGTCGGCGGGTGTCGGTGGACGGTGGCCGTGTGATGAGAGGATGAGTTGTGGAGGGGTCGTGGGTGAGGGGTGGGAGGTTAGTAGAATGGAAAACAAAACTAAAAAATCATAAAACCTAAACGGGTACTCGTTCGTTGGAGGTTTCGGGAAATTTCGAGCGACGACGCTTACTCGGCGGGTGTAAGTCGGCGGCTCTCCGAAGAAGCGGTAGGAGGACGTGACGGGACTATTACGTCACGTTCGGCGTACTGGTTAGGGCCGTACTTGTTGTATAAGCTGCCGCCGTTTTCGTTTTCGTTGTCGTCGACCACCAACACTGCGTCTTCGGCACCACCGGTCGAGTCTTCGCCAACGGTCGCTGATTGTCTAGGCGGCGGCTGCTGCGCCAGATTTCCGGTGCAGTTGATCGCCACGGCTGCGGCACCTACACGCAAATAAAGGAAACGGAAGTTTTTTTAGAAAAATGATTTTTCATATGAGGTAGTCATCAAATGATAATATTATATTGTTATATGTAAATAAAAGGTTAAGTATAAGAAAATGATCTTGTAAAAACAATTACAGCCCTAATAACCGGTTTTGGGTGGAGGCGTAGATTGCATAATAAACAGACAGGRTGATTCGCYATTACCAAGCGTCACTCACCTACTTTTAAAATAACGCAAATGATATTATCATTATGATTTTTGGGATTTTGAAATCTATAGTTGTAATAACGACATGAAAAATCAAAGATTTTAAAAATAGGTACTATGTAGTAAAAATGATTGGTGATGTGAAATATGTTTATTTTCTCGTTTATAACTCTGCTAAATTTTAGCGATTCAACTTTAAAGTACCTTACTCGGTACGGAACATAAAATAAGTAACTAAATAATATAATGATATGTACAATTTAATTTGCATATTTATGTATAAAATTATTTTATTACCTAATTCTGTAGTAACGATGAACCAAGTACCTCATACAGTACACTCATTACAGTAAAGTTATGAATGTGTGATTATATGTTAATAAAATTCATTGTAGGTATATTATTATTTTTTAATTCTAAACCATTTTAATTAAATATAAAATAATATACAATAAGCGATACTATAAATATTAAATGTGTAGTATATAAATATTTATTTCTAGAATTGGATAAAAAACGACTTTTGAAGAACCTCTACAAATAAAAAAGTCTGTTTTGTTTTTCTCTGTTTATTTATTTTTAGATGCCGTGCTATATTTTATTAAGTTTAGTATTTTTGTAATTATAATAACTCTTTTCCAACACAAGTAGTCAAAGTTAATCGAAATTTTAACACATGAACTCTCTGCTTTGTCTGAGTAAATAAATAAAAAACTATATGTTAACCAAAAGAGGAACTATATATTATGTCTAAAATTAGTTGATAATAATTCTTATATTGCCTATGAAACACGTCGAAAAATGCAACATAATAATAATAGTGTCCTATAATGATTAATGAATAATCTGAAGCGTTTGAAATATACTCTACTCTTAGAGTGACTTAAAATTAGGTAATATTTTATTAAATTGTATTATCTTCAAAACTAAAATYGTGAATTGTAATTTTTTTAAGTAAATAAAAACAGAAGGCGACTATTTTTTAAACTCGAGTAGTTCAGTTGACCACTTGTCCATATGAAATGGTTTGCATTTGAAGGAAAAAATGTTGCTCATCGGTCAGATAAACTTYACAAYGTTCAAAGTCTCGTTAAAAAGAAATCCATAAATTTAAAAAAATAACCATCGCAACACATAAATAATCATTGTATATACTTATCACATACATCTAATGTAATGTAATAGTCAACCACATGGGCCGTCTAGCTGATTATGTTTTTGTGAATAATTCATATTATATTTGATGGGAAAATTCATGTGGCTATTAAAAAGAAAAATAAGTATGAAATATAATGTAAATAATAGTGTTTATAAAACATAATCACACGATCTATATGATATTTATTTTATGTTTCGCTTCGAGGGCTGCCCCTTATTTATACTGTTGTCGTCTATCCGTTGCTTTATTTTCTATGAATAAATTATTTAGAGGATTTCGCGTAAAACCGTGGCGGTTGGCTGGCGGTTTGTAACTTCTAAGGTTTATGTTGTGGCAGTTAAGTGGTTTCTAAAAGCAATAGCTTCACCGTCGCCAAACGATTTATATCATTATAWCTATATAGTTGTGGAAATATTTTAAGTTAGCCTACGATATGATCTAAGATTTGGAGTTTAATACGTTTATAAAACGGGGTGAATCTGTAGGATCTGCATAATATATCTGCATATGAACGTTCTACAAAAACGTATGATTTATATTTTGTTTTAAAATTTTATGTCATCCGTGAACTGTTCGTGTTACGTCAAGATTATACTTGTAAAAGTATTTTAATTAAAAGGATCGGGAGTAAAGTAAAAAGTTGTTATTTGAACTCTTGTGTGGATTGTTTGATAGAAAATATTCATCGATTTGATTTTGCAGTCAATTATTGCTGATTAAAAATACAAMAACAAATAAACATATTATATTTATTACATATAGATTATTTTACTRATACTTGTAAGATCTATTATGCAGACAATTAACAATTATGATTTAAGTATAGAATTAAACAGATTATGACAAAAGGATTTGATGTAATTGAACTTTATAACATCATTTTCATAAATRTAGTATGGTTAATATATTCATATAACCATATAAATGTTTATAAACAACTTATTTCTAATATAATTTAAGACCACAATCAATATTGCTAGTACTTAGTAAAGATTAATAAATTATCCAATTGATTTAATTATTTGGGTTAATATAAAATACTCAATATTCGTCTTCATAAACGTTGAAAAATTGTTCCGAGCCATTATTAATATTTATAAAAATTATAGAAAAAATTATATTTTATAATCTCTGAATAAAAAAATGCATTATATAAGTAGTTTCAATTTAACAAATATTATTATCTTCAAATTGAACATCGATAAAAGTTGTGAAATTAAGATGTATGGTAGGTTTGAATGTATTTTTATTGCAAATAAATACAAAGCTTTACAAACCAAAATTGTCTTCAATGTATTATGAATTGATGATATGGTTATATCAATGTACACCTCCAAAGACGTTTTTAAAATTAATTCATCATAATATTTCGTTACACGTTTTGTTGAAACCACAAGAACGATAATATAGTATATTTATATAAAGCAGCATTTTTAATAGTAAAAAAAATAATTTTTTATTCATAGAATGTAAGCACTCTTCAAGGAAGAATTGCCGATCAATTGTAAAATATTAATTCTTCCTTAAATGGTACATGCGCGYGGTGAGTATATAGGTATGCATAATGTGGTAATAGGTATGCGGTAAACATAATTGTAAATAATTATATAAATACCATTCACGGAGTGAACTTTACCTATAAATACGGAATTATATGGCTTTTTACAAAGATAGAGAAAGTGAAAATTATAGAAAAACCGATAGCAATAATACTCGTGGTATGAGCATGCAAACACTACTGATCAAGTCTCACCTCTGTTGTATCCGCCACCGTGCATGAGCATCGGCTGCTGTCTCATCCTGCTGTGCGGCTGTTGGCCGTGCCATACGCTACTTCCGCCGCCGTATACGATGTCGTACATCGTCGTCTCGGCGTCGCCTTCCACGTCCACGTTCTCGTCTTCGTCGTCGTTACCAGCTGTCGCCACTGATGGATGTCCCTGGAAAATAGCGTCGGCGTGCGGAACATATAAGTAAAAACACTCGAGAAAACTGTCGAAGCCAATAACCATAATAGTATGGTATGTCAGCGCAACGGGATTATTTAATGTGGTATCAAACGTTTGGTTGAAAACACGCCTTGACGGTAAGCGAGATAGGGTGTAGTCGAGGCCGAGTCTTGGACATATTTTGTCAAATTTAWAAGCCACAAGAATTTCCAAAACGATAACGAACACGTGAAGCTCAATTTTAATTGTGATTAGAATGACATGCATGGTCATATTGTTTTTAAGTAAGTATATATAGCATTAATTAAATTCGTTAATCTGCGCTTCCTAAATGAACGGATTCCTGAATTCGCATCAATACCTGTCTCACATCCTGTTTGCACGAAGATAAACTATTATGTTACGCTCGCAAACGACATTTTGAACAAAGACATCTTTTATAAAATAATTAATGACTATAAAACAATAATGTATTGGATGTGACAACATTTAGTACTTATGTGCAGGTAACAATAGTTAATACTGTTGTTGGTATTGCAGCAACATGTGTTTGGGTAGTCGAAGTTAAAATTGAAAATTGGATTGAAATAAGTTCCGGAAAAACATTTATGTTTTGTGAATAAATATTAACCACGCGTTATCGGAACTTGCGATTTAATGCAGTTTTCGTTCGTGACCATTTTCCGAACCAGCAAGTTCTCAGGCCACAACTCACAACTAGTACTTGACCAATGTATTTTTTTTTTTTTACATACTTTGTTCCTGAGGCACATTTCCACGTGAGCGTTCATCTGTTCCTGGGTGGCCGCGGCCACGGGCTCGCTACAAACGGGACAGCAGCAGGTCGCCGGTGACGGCGTCAGCAGCATCTCGTCGGGTTTTCGTTTCCGATTTTTGATCCTCAACCGGTTGTGTCGATTAGCTTTGACTTTTTGATAAGTCTGTACGGATAGAAACAACATCAACAACGATTATTATTAATATTATACTGTTGTGAAAAGCAATARATTAGTCACTCTGCGCACTCGTAATAAGTAATGAAATAGAGCCGGGTGGCGAAACAAATCACAGGTAACCGCACTTCCGACGATGCAAAAATGTGGCTTCGAATTAAATTTAGTGATAAAAGTAATATTCTCGGCCTGTAGATACGTATATKTAAACGGTATGGGGGTAGTGAAAAGGGTTGGGAATGGTCGAAAGTAAAAAATACAAACGAATTCAAACTTTTACTGAAAATCTTTCGCATCCAAATACGAACATATACATGCAATGTTTATTACTTATATATATTATATATATTTTGTTTTAACAACATAAATAGAAAATACTTGTATTTTAGTACGTTCGTATAACGAATAAACTCATAAACTACTGGACCAATTTCAAAATTTTTTTCATCAACGATACATAATTATCCCTTAGTAACATATATATAGGCTATMATCACAATGCGAAAAAATTTGATTTATATATAGAAATAGCAAAGCATTGCCAGGACAGCTGGTTTATTATACAGTACATCAATAATAAGTTAATGTTATGCGAGAATTAGTCTCAAATGACATATACGAGTAGTTGTTATACGGGAAAAGTATATACAATTTGAGCATTTTATACATTGTCCGGACATTTTGTACAATGCCCTTCGTATATTGGGAAATATAGATAACGGATGAGAAGATTTAATGAATAATRACATGTATTTAAATTATTAAAAAATATAATAAGTTTTTTAAAATTTTATTATCACTTATTGACACATGTACTGCTTCCGTGACATTTTGATGTAYATATCATATAATTTATAAATCAGTAAATATAGTTATAATATATTATGTCACGTACACGCGTATAATATGCGGACAAGCGGACATCCCCATTGTAAAAATACCATAAGAACAAACAGACTAGTGACATATAATAATTTTTAGATAATAATTTGACTTTATTTTAACTATGTTTTACGATTTATCATATTTCATTAAATCATCTCATCCGTTATCTATATTRCCCAATATACGAAGGGCATTGTATAAAATGTCCGGACAATGTATAAAACGCCCAAATTGTATACTTTGCCCGAAACATAGTCATATAATCAACGTACAGCTAAAAAAACTGGACCGATTGATTTGAGATTTTAAGCGAATGCGTGTAGGCACTGAGAAACGACTTTGTAGAATTCGCGTTTTCGAGAGAAGCTTCAGTGGCGCAACTATAGGAGGGGGCTAGAGTGGATTTCCACCYAAAAAAGTTCACGTTGGTTTATTTGTATAATTTATAGGTTCGATRGGTGTGAGAATTTTACCGTGGGCTCTATGGTTACACTTATGAGTAGGTAGTTCACRCGGAGATTTAATGGCTCACGAAAAACGAATATTTTTTCTTTTATATATAATGCCGGATTATTGAGTAGTTACTGAAAATAAATTGGTAATTAGTTATTATAATATTGGTTATGATTTCAGATCAGCTGTATTTTATGATTTGGTCGAAACCACCAAAATAATGTCTGTGTGATTTAGTGGGAGCTTAAGGGAGGGTAAGTCCACCATTCATTATTAATTAATCGGTCACGGGCAACGTCTTACAAATTATAACGTCATGCAATATAATAATTGTGTCACACGCACCTCCCATCGGCCGTGCAACGTCGCGTCTCTGCTGCTGCCGCCGGCCACTGGCGACAGTCGGCCGCCATCCCTTGGACATACCATGAGACCGTGCATGTGGTGGCTGTCGCTCAACTTGTCGGGCGTGCCTCTCCGGTGCCGTCGTCCTGCCACGGCTGCCTGCTTGTACAGCCGTTCCAGTTCCCATATAAAGTGTGACTCGAGCTCGTGGGCCGTGCGGAGCGCCGTACCGCACACGGGACAGCAACCCGCCGCGGCCGCGGACATCAACTGTTGGCCACCGGCCGATGACTGCTGCTGCTGCTGCTGCTGCTGCTGTTTGATCGATGACGACCCGTTGTTGTTGTTGTTGCTGTGGTTGTTGTTGTTGTTGACGGTGGCCGTCGTCGCGGTGGCCGCCGTGGAGCCACTTCCGTTGGCCGGTCCCGGTGTCGTCGACGGCGCGGCTGTCGTCATGGGCGGCGACAGTTTTTTCCCTGCGGAACAACCAAAAATGTCGTTAAAATCGAAATACGGCGGTCTGGCCACCGCGGCCGGTACCACTCGCAGCTGTTGCGGCTGCGGTGGTGGCTGTTGCGGCTGCTGCTGTCTAGCGCTAGTGAAATCGGTCATCGCGCGGCGGACACTGACGGCGACTAACTGACTCTGGACGCGCGCCGACGACAATACGCGGTAACGCGCGCACGCACGCACGCACGCCACACACCCTCCGCCACCCCAAACCTCATCRCGCACAACCCTCTGACGACGGTCGTATGTACAGAGTGTTTGTCGGCGTGCGTGTATACTGCAGCGGCAGATCAGTTGCTGCAGGGGTGGTGGCTCAAATTAACTGCTGTATTACCAGTATAGGTATACCTCTATTATAGGCACATTTTATATACATATAGATGTACCTATACACTGTTCTAGATCTCCACCGGAACAATATTATTCCATCCGTCGCCATATAACATATATTRTGCGTTTTTTTAGAGGGGTGCAAATATTGCATATGGTAATAATATCCGATCACGATGTGCAACCAGTCGGAAAGGCGTAATGCCGCGTTAATTATATTCAATTTTTTGGTATCTATAATAAATAGTTTCTATTATACGATATATACAAGTATATCGAACAAAAATTCATCTGCAGGTTTTGAAAATCTCGTGTAAACTAGCTGAGTATATTTATACAACTGCCTAGTAAAATATATGACGAATATGGTGCCTATATATGTCAACGATTTTGTACTACTGCAGCGAAAAAATTGATGAGACACGCCCGATAGTGTAGCGATACGAGATTTTAACGCACTGTATAACATATAGGTGTAACCATATTGTAGGCATATATACGGCGACGATAATATATATATATATTATAAATGCGTGTTACGAGGACGGGTATTAAACGCTCTGGACGATATAATAATAATATGTACGCTCGCGACAATGCACCCGGGTGACCTAACCTACCTCACTACCGCCCCCCTCGCCAACCCCCTTCCCACTCTTCTCGGGCGGGATCGTCAGGGCGGTGGCAGTGGTCCCGTCGGAAAGTCACACAACGTCATCCCCATTGTTGTCCGCCGTCAAACTCCATCCTGGGTTTTTATCTTCCCCCCGTCGTGTACGCGCGCGATTATCGTTCTATATATATATATAATCATACACCATATTATATATACTCTTATACACGTTTGTCTGCGTATCATATAATACGCACGTGTATATATGTAATATATATATATGTACCTAGTACCTTTTATGTGTATCATAGTATATGTATATATCATACATATTGGCGGTATAAGTCGTAGAATATTATACGTATTTTATACAAACGCACACACACAATAATTTTTATAAGAAATGAATGACGACAAAGGATGATCTCGAAGTGTATACGGTAGACACACACACACACACACACATACACACATGTATATATGCGATGGGTTATAATATAAAGGCGAGGATAATACCCGCGGGCATATTCGGCGCGAGAGGAAATTCCGTCGCCGAACCCTCGTACCAGCCGTTGTGACGCCAACCGACCAGGTGTCTCACGTTTGTACTGTATATACATTATACATATATTGTAAATTGGAATTATGTATATATAATAATATAGTGTCCTAAATGTACATATATATATATATATATATATATATATAGTTATAGTACTACATAGTAGGCTATCGCGGGCAGGTACCGGTCGGCTGTGGCAGCGGATGTCGACGTCGCGATTTGACTGCGTTCCACGACCCGAAACTGCACTGATCTTTAAATTCAACTCGAGGACATAAATGTTCAAAGCATCTATTGTAAACTCGGCACGAATAAAACTAATATTCTCAGATCTCCTCGTGTCTAATTAATGATTTATCTTAAATACAATTTTTGAGATACAAAATAAAGGCATTAACCTGCGTGCAGAGGATACCATCACGACGAGGCGATGCTCGTTTTATTTTCACTTTCGTGTTATTGAAAAGTATGCAACACAATTAAATTATACAAGTGTATATATACATAGTTTATTGTATTATGTACATTTTATAAGTTATTAATTGTTTTCAGATTGAATGATGTGGTGCAATCATGTTTTATCGTCGAAAGTTATCGGGTCGAGTTTACAATCGACTTTTTATTTACTATAGGTTGGTACCTACAATTTCCGGGCCGAGTTAACATCATCGATGGCAGTTTACAATAATTATTGATCTTTTATATTACGCCAGGCAGTTGTAAAAATATTTTCTCGGGTTGTGCGAATTTCGCCCGGGACCCCACACACGACGAGCAGTCGCGCCGACACATTCCGAAAAGGGATTATTACTTTCGTCGTGTATTGGAAAACTGCACTCGCACCGCATATGATATTGGCTCCCATTATATTTTTATACACAATGTCAATATATCGTATTATACATATACCTTGTATTATTATATGACATATGCACCTGCACGTGAGCACATGTGGAGCGAGCACCCAAGATCCACGAACCGCGACAAAAATACAAAACATGATGAAAAAACGGACGTAAAATATGTTTAAAAATGTGAGAAGTAGTCTTACTACAGGTGGCAGTGGTTTGGTTGAGAATATTATATTTTTATGTGTAGTGTAGGACGTAGGTATTACTCAGCTTTGTCGGAAGCGAATCAATATACATTTTGTCAGAGTTCACTTGCGGAAATAGCTCGCTAATATTTGTCGATTGTAGACAAAAAATAATACCCGTCAGTGATACATTTTTTTAACAGTCAACCACATACTGATCTGATATATAGAATAATGTGTTACTTATATCATGTTCTATTTATTTAAATAACAATGTTGACATTGTGAGAGTATTAAAAATACAATGTGCTATATAAAAACGAATTCTTATAAAAATGTTTATAATATTATGTGTATATCACGAAATGACTAGCTATGACTTTATTGCCTATAATTAAGTTAGATAATATRCCAGGTTAGATCATGTGACGTTTTTTTTAGTGTTATTGATTTGTGACAGCCTCCGAAATAGATAGTAATCGGTGCATTTAAAGCGGATACATGCGTGTCGGCGTGTCGCGATTTTGAAAAGATGATGAATAATACAGAACAGTAGGTATATTTAGTATTAAAATTCAGACGATGTTGTTTTCAATAAATTTGCCAACAGTGGAAAAAATTAACACCTTCAAATTATTAGGTATTTATTTGTTTAGTAATACATTTTTTTGTATACAATAACTACAAGAAGTACAATTTTTCTGGTATTTTATTTATGTATTTTTATCAGCCCCTCGAGGTACCTTGGTATATTCGATATATATATACATGCCTCAACCCAACACCACGCAGAATTTGAGCTCAATAACTCTGATTAAAAACGTATATTATTATTAATATCATATACTTTGTATAAAATTAAAAACAAATAGAAAATGTCTCAAAACATCGAAAAAAATCGTGTGCGTCCAAAAACGTTGCACAAAAAAGTGAACTTACACATATTTTTCCCTCAAGGCCGATGCGCGCAGTGTACTGATTTTCTGTCATCAGTGTTAGGTTATACAACTTAAAATTTCACTCGCAGCCTTTTCCGGTTACCGGACTCAAGACTCGGCGAATTGTCTCACAACCACTTCGTAGTCGTTGTTTACATTATGTACCTTGTTGTAATAATTATATGATGTTTAAAAATATATATATATATAATATATATATATATATATATATATGTTATACCCAAAATCTAAATATTACTGCAGTTCGTCCGAAATACCACGGTACGCGCTACACTATGTATTGTGATGCCTGTAACCATACATTATCGTATTACCATCGTACTTGTATTACACACTATATGCATAGGTAAGTACCTACATATATTATATAGACTGGTGGTGGGTATATGTTCTATATTACATAGGATCGTATCCGGAGAATTTGACAATCGCCGTCCGGTTGGATGGTTATTCAAATCGTCGAACCCTGCAAAATATACACCCTGTATACACGGAACCGGTCATGGGGTATATATTGTATACAGCTCGCACCCCGTCGCAGAGTAGTCGAAACGCACGCGCGAGAATAGATAATAATATAATATATATGTATATATACAATCGGGCAAAGGTGTTTTGTTCGTTAACTAGGAGGGTAGTCGCTTCAGTGACACTAATGTTCGAACGACCTTTTCGATCGGGCCCATCGTATACAATAGCCGACGCGACTCCGCTCGCAATATCACACCGACTCGTTGGGTCTAAACGCGGTATCGGGATGAGGCGGGGCGGGTGTTTCATTTATTTTTTTCATATGTCATTTGTCGCCGCAGTTTCACATACGTGTACTAGACTCTATATACGATACACACGCATACGCATAAATAATAAAGGTATTTATATTTAATAATATGTAACATCGTATTAAGCGACCTCGGAGGTAAGGAGCGTAATAATAAAGGTAAAGTCCCACAATACATTATGATGCGAATTAACCCTCCCGTTTCCAAACCAGTTTTCAGTTAAACAATTTATTTTCAGTTAAGTACCAGCTTCTATACTGCTTTATCCGCACCCTCCATCATGAGGCTAAAAAAAAAAGACGCGAAATATTAAAAGTTTATATTGTAATTTATAGCTAGGTAGAGTTGAATACGAATGTTTATCAAGTCCACTGGGGCATGTTCAACAATTATATAGGACTAGAGCTCCCCCCCCC